AGAATATATTTTCAGGCAAACAACTTATTCGCATGCACTAGATTTACGTGACTAATGTCCTTAGCATTTGACGCCACCGAAATCACTAGAAATCAATCAATTAATCGTCGCGTCAAAATTGATTATTTTGTGTTTTCTGCAGAGATAACTGCTAAAGCCATTAGGCCCTTATGTATAGTGCATATTATATCCCGCAAAGTGGTAATGGTCAACCCTTGCTTTAACGTGTAATTACCAGAAATATCTATTTAACTCTCGCGTAGTAACTTAGGTATTGTAAACACCTTGTATTGTATTTCAAGACTTAATAACTACGAGGAAACAGTTTGTTTGTACATTCTGAATTTGCATGCTTTTAAATCTTGATGTCTGACCTCTAATTAACAATTTTGAGAGAAATTCCCTCGTAGAGACAAATTCAATGGAAGTTAGTGCCTTCTTGTGTCTGACGCGTTGAAAAAAATTTTCTTCAAAAGAACCTCGTCAGTAAAGGAAAGGGAAGAACGCACGAAATTATATTCTACATTTAAACAACAGTACTTCTCAGTGCTGCTGTCAGAGCGTGACACTGACTGAACAGACGAAAGACGCCAGTTGAAACGCGAGCCAAGAGCAGTCGTATTATTTCTACACTGAGAAGATAATACTTTTTGTCTCGTGTCACGAGTTGCTATTCGTCATGCATGGTCGGTGTTTTATTTAAAATGTTGCCCAGCCACATATTGTGTATTCTTTGATTGCTAGCACGCGTGCACCGCACATGTTCAGACTATATCAGCTGACAGCGTCTACGTGAAGATCTGATAAAAGCACATGAATGAACGCCGAGCAGGGGGGCATCAATTGTTAATGTCATATTTCGTGGATGTTACAACATTCTAAAGCTTGTATGTGCTGACGTCATAGCTGTTACATTCTGGGAAAAAGAACCGTAGGACGTTCTATTGGTTCTACCTGCGACGACGCAAATTTCACTTTAATACCCTCCCAAAACAACAATAGCTAACTTGAAGCCTTAACACACATCACATGTTATTAAGACATAATTCATGTTAAGATTACTGTCTATAGGGTGATTTATCCAACTCTGACCCTGACAGGTATGGCTGTGACCTTGGCCCACTGGGTGACCAGATCCAGCGCCGACAAATCGTTGGTTAGTCCGTGGCCCGTTTGTTAGGGTACTGCTCCGGCATTCGCTTGGTATTGATCATAGAAACCACGAAAAAAAAACCGGCCGGAGCTGGCAGTCGCTCTAACAGCGACAGAACTGACCTAGCTATGTGACTATTGTCGAAAGTCCTGCCTGCGTCGAGACGAACCCCAGCACCTCCCGGTCAGAGGTACTGCAATGGCATCGGTTGATGATTTGAGCCACCTCTCCCGGTGACTTCCTATTTGAGGCGGAATCTCGTTCATTTCAGGCCACTGTGCCGCGCTGGTGCGCGCCGAATTCGCCTTGTGAATTGGAGCCCCCCCCGCAGCGGCTGCCCACGCGCGGTCGGTGCCGCCAATTATCGCGCCGCGCGCGGGATTAGGCGGGGAGGAATGTTGGCGAGGCCTGGCTATCGGGCGGAATGTGGGCGTGGCAGAGCTACGGCGTCCGGAAATCAGTGGCTGGGCGCTGGCTGAGCTTGAGCTCGGTGAAAATGTGCAGCAGTGGACGGTGCGGTCTGGTCTCCAGGGTCCGGCAACTCTCCATCAAAATTGGGGACAAAGCTAGAGGTTGCTACTATAGGATGCGCTAGTGTCGCTATATAGCTGCTGTAAGACTCGCCAACTTTCGACATAAAAAATTGGTCAAGAAATACGAATACACTTTGATTATGAGCTAGTTTCTGAATATAAATTACAAAAGAAGTTAAATACTATGTGTTTATCTTCTAAAACTAATTTATTCATAACAATACACGCATGAAAGAAAAAGTAGCGGCGAACAGCGGCGCGATCTTTTGTATCAAGCGCATGTGTTTGCGTCCCGAGGAGCCATGGAAGTTTTAAATAACGTTGGTAGCAGTTCGTGTTTTAAGTTCGTGTAAAAAGGTGATGCAGCAGAGCGCGCCACCGTAATGGTCCCCACCACACACCATGGGAGTTATAGGGCCCTGCTGGTCTCGGTAGGACCTGGATAGGGTGGATAGGGCTGGGCGGGTGTGGATGCGGTTGAAAGATTCTGGATAGTGCTAGATAGGTTTTATTTTCTTTTATTTTCTTTTGGAAGTACATAGTTCAGTTACATCACTTTTCCATATGTATTGTATCACTTCCAAATATTCTTATTACCTATCTAAAAACTAACTCTAGCTACAGGAAGGGGTAGGAAGCAACAATCTGCGCCAACTATTCACAATTGTTGGAGAATATGTTTAGGAAGGCATTTAAAGAATAACGGTTTTTTATTCGTGTTGGAGTATAGTCTGTTGAAGCGAGGTTGTAGTGGCTGACGTGTGGGGGTAGGTCTGCACAGGGGTGTTCGGTTTCGTAAGCAGATGGGTTGCCTTGTAGTTCAGAATTTTTCTAGGATTTTTTAATTATTTTTTTTATTTTGGTGTTTATTCGCATATGAAAACCAAAGTTAATTGTTTCTCTTTGTACAGTCTTCATTTTTGGAACAATTCATTTTTGTAGAACGCTGTTTCTACAGTGGGACGATTTTATTAGTAGTAGTCGCGAACGTGGAAAATTGTTCTCGGTTGACGGCCCCTTACTAGCCCCATGAACTACCCGGGGGACGCAGCGGACGGAAGGTTTCCCCCTGCAAGAGCAGGCTTTCCTGTCTTGTATAGTAGTAGTTTTGCAATGGCTCGTTCGAAGTCCATTCTCAAACAGAAAGTGTTTCTGGACGACACTTGCGAAACATGGGTCAAACCGTTATGTGTATGGTATCCTGGATCCTTTCTTCCAAATGTTGACAAATGAAAAGCGTAGCGGTCATTTTCAGCAGGACTCCGTAACCGCACACACTGCTTCCGATTCCTTAAGGGTTTACATGTCGTTTGTGGAGACAGAATTATCACATGTGGTTTGTGGTCTGCGCGCTCTCTTCATCTGACTTCGCGCGATTTCCTTCTTTGGGGATTCCTGAAAGATCACATATATACGGCAAATCCGCACACCGAAAAATAATTATGGAACAATAGATAGGAACGGATATCTCATAAGACAATCCCATAAGACATCCTTGTGTAAGTGAAACAGAACTTATTTTTATGTCACGAATGTATGATAGCCGCTGTGAACAACTCCAGCATCTACTGTAATGCGAGTACAATTTAAACGTTTAGTAAGAGAAAAGCCACATTCCATCTCTCTTCAGCGATTCTAACAACATTAATGTTTCAAAACATCGATGTTCAAATGTTTACAATCCATATTCAAAATACGTTGTCTCAAAACCATATATGCTTTTAAAACGGAATTGGTAATCATTATGGTCACTTAGGAGTATTTTATTTTCAAGGTTTATTAATATTTTATTTTCGACTTAATTGACTAAACAGTGAAAAACTGACCAGAACATTTAACAAACCTTTCATCATCTGATTGGATAATCCCAAAATTATTTAGAGTTGATATATCAGAAATGAAAACTCGATTTTGATTATTCTCACTCTTTATCACATTTGTCAATTTATAAATCGCAGAAAATAGAAGAAATAGCCGAATAGCAGAAAATCTTTTTTGTTTTTTATTACGATGGTACTTTTTTTATTAAATAATAAAATGTCAACCACGTAAAATCATTAAACACAAAAAACAGCCTTGTAAAAATGCATTGACTTCAAGACTTTCGATGGTTTTATAAAAGCCAAGAATATGGACCAAGAAAAAAATCTGGGTGGTTTTATAAAAATATCCATGTTTTTAAAACATCGACCTTGATGTCGCATGGTGGACCTTTGCATCGCTTCTGGTGATATGTGACAGAATAGTGGTTGATTGATTATTTAGTGATTCCATGCACGTCAACTACCAGGGTCATGAGTCCCGTAAGTGTAATGTATGTTTTTTGCTCAGGAGATGGCAGTGATCTTTCCCCCGCTGTATGGGGAGATCTGGCGACGACCTACCGTTATCTAGCGGTGTTTCCCCACCAGCAGGGCACCGCCTTAACCGGGACAAGCTCTTAGCTCCTGAAGGATCTCCCGGCATGTGTGGTAGTGTAGTGCATGGTAGTGTAAGTGTGTGTGTGTGTGTTTCAAAATCTCAAACTTTTGACATTTACATAATGACTTTAATACTAAATACGTTTACTTTTCAGCTCCAATATTAATATCGTATATTAGTTTTTGTCAAAAAACTTCTAGGGGTGTAATATTGAACGTTTTCTGAAATGTCAGGTCTCTAATTTTATTTAATTGGAATTTCACAGAAAACACATACACTTTTTCATATGAAAATTTCGAGAAATAATTTAGAAACTGTTTTCAGAAAATTTTTAAAAATACATCATTTTGTGTCATTTACGTGCGAAAAACTTTTCAAGGTTTCGAGAAAACTTCCTCAAAACTAACTTAAATCTTTTGTATGCAAAAATGCAGTAGATCGTGAATTACATTGTAAGTTACTGTATAGAACGCGCGAACAAGTAAGGAATAATTTACATATGTGAAGTTTTACATTATTTCTGCAGTAGAGTATTGCAAGTGCTCTTAGCTGTCTGAATGACGTTTGTGTCGAAGGATGAAATGCCGACATTTCGATGTTGTCGTGATCTTTCTTAGGGCTGGTAGCAGACCAACTCTGAGGAATATCTAGAGCTGGCTGGTCACGCGGCGTCGCCCAGACAGCCTAGAGCACTTACATATATTTATGTGTCTTTTTTTCTTATTAAATTCTGGCGTTTTAATGAAAGTGGCACGTACGTCGTGTAATGTGGCATATTATGCTCTACCCTTGCCCAAGTTAAAAATGTTCGAATTCGCAAGGAGAATATCAAGTAATAATAAGGAAATTGTTGTTTAAATATTGATTTACATCCAGACCCCTTGCACACTTACCATGTGCCGCTTCAAGAATACTATAGACAACAAAACAGGGTTGACAATAACATTGAGCAATGCAGTCTAACACGATAAAAACGAAGATACAAATACTAAAATTTAAATTTTCTTATACAAAATTTATTAATTTAATATAATAATTTAAATTTCTTTAAATTACATTAAAAAAGATTAGTTGCCGAAACGGTACCCATTATATTGAATGATACTATAATTACTATGAATAACCTACAAAAACTTAATTTTGATGTTTATATCTTTGTTTGTATCTCTTATACCGTATAGCTCAATGTTATTGTCAATCCTGTTTTATTATCTATAGTACGCTTCAAACGTACACTAAGTGTTCAAAACGTCGAGAAGTAAATAAACATTATTTAAACAATATTTTCCTGCATGTGGCCTACTTATGGCCTGGCCCTACTTCCTAGCCGTATACTATTTAATTAAATCATAATTATATAGTAAATCAGCAAGGAAAACAACTTCGATTCGAATTACAATAATAATAATAATAATAATAATAATAATAATAATAATAATAATAATAATAATAATAATAATAATAATAAAACAGGAAAGCGCACGTGCATTTGACATTCTTAAACTTCGCGCGTAGAAGGATCCCCATCCAGCATTTCGTTAGGAGAACTGCTGTGACTCGCAGACAAGATGCCCGTCTGGATTCGCTTAGTAGCGATCCCGATCCGCTCCGTTCCGAGCGCTGTACGGTGCAGCCGGATTCTTCCGGCGCACCCGGATCCTGCTGCACTCTAGCGCTACACGCAGATACTACATGAATAATATCTGTCGTCTGTTTCGTAGCGTTCGTATTTTGTGTTAGTAGTGTAAATGCATCGTCGTGTTATCAAAATCAGTTGCGAGTGGTGATAATGATTTTGCGTTTAATCTTTTTCATGCTAAGAAATCCCCGAATAAAAAATTTAGTTTCTGAAAATGGAAGGAACGCTAATCATTACTCCAAATATTGCCAAAATAGTAAAATTGTTAGTAACTACAAAACTGTCTTACATAGGTGAATAATGTGTTAGAACTTGTAATAGACAATGTAATAAACTATGACATTTTTGTTCTATTTATAATTGTAATTATTATGTTTCTATATACAATGGAATAATGTCAGACGTCGCTTAGGATCGTAGATGTTATAAAGCGATCATAAATAAATAAATTAAAAAAAAACTGTTGTTCTGAGCCCGCGACATGATATTGTAAACGAATGCTTTGCGAGAAATCCCATACCAAATTTTAGAACTTGCGAGACGATTATACAGTTTTTCAAGTTCTTCAGAATATTGTTGCCAGTTTCATGAACTGGTGAACGTACGTTACAAAAAAAAATGTCAACTTCAGGCAGGCAGGCATAATCTCCAGGCAAGCATTGTGTCTGGAATGTGGAAGTAAGAATAGGGATGTTGATCAAAGTAAAAAAACTAGACAAAACTACTTAATAGTTCACATATTTGGTAAGTTTATTGCCAACTGTACACAATTCAAACAAACCTTACATTCACACATCCTCTCATTATTGTATTACATTTTGATATTAGTTGCGGTCCATCTAAAGCCCAGTCTTAATTTTTTTAATGAAATATATTACAAAATATGTTTAGGCGGTGCCAATGCATTGCAGATGAAAAATTTAAATAATCCTTCAAAGTGTAAGAGCAATTGTAATATTAAATATTACTTTTTCATGGATTCGGTTTACTTCACTGATGACACATTAGCACTTCTTGAATATATCGCATTCGGTGCTGTTTACCAGTTGTCATTGCTTTTTAAAATCCTTATTTTGTTTGTATTGTTGATCCCTATTATTGTTCTTAAAATCAATGGTAATAAGAAGTTTAAAAAAATAAATAATAGTGAAATTTTAGAATTGAGCTCAGAGTTAATGTTCTTTGATATATAAAAATTTACGTTGTATTTTCATAAGGTATGGAAATAATTAATATTTGAGAGGAAAATGAATCGCATATTCAGATATCACACTTTTTAAATTTCAATTGTTTTCAACAGTTTTCATTTCATAATCGAATACAATTTGAGAAATTTTACATTTTACTTCTGCTTGTATCGCTGGGGGAAAGGTTCTCACAGTCTCTTCCATTGCAGAAAAAAATTTTGTCAAATGATCCGATTGTTTCTTTTGAATCTTACTTTCAAAATAATTACGTAGTACTGTAGATAATGCGGGGGCGTTTCCTTCATTGTGAGGACTTTGGGAGTGTCCAGGAATAAAGGATACAGGATCGCAAGATTGTGAAGGTGTTCTCGAAATTTCTTCAGAATGTAGTGAAGGGGATAAGGCGTCTTCTTGGGATATAAATGGTTCCATGGGTGAAGGAATTATGAACGAATCTTCTTCTTCTTCTTCTTCCTTTATTCTTCCTTCGTATTCATCATATTGATCATTGACAGGAAATGTACTATTTGAATTGTGTTGCCTTTCAGCAAAATAAGGCAGGAGGAATTTCATTTGTTTCTCAAACTTAAATGTTGTAGTGAGCTCCGAGTTTTGTTCACTCCTCGCTGATATTGACTTACGAACTGCTTTCCGGTAAGAATCTCTTAACATGTTCCACCTTTTTTTGCACGCGTATTCTGAAATAAATACAAAAAAGATGCATTACCCATTATGCGCATTCTAAACGCGGAGAGGAGAGATGAAAGGCTTACGTCATCAAAACCTCCTTGGCAATATATATGTTGACAGAATCATCATGGAGGTGAATGAACAAATGAATCATTATAGATGGTAAAAGGAAGCCACTCCCAAAGGCCTCGTTTTCGATTACCTTCCTTTATTTCTCAAAATTGATTTTAATATTCATTTATGCTCATATTATGTAACTATTTAAACAATTATATTGTTTAGTATCATTTCTACAGTACATAAATAATATATAACGTAATAACAAATGTGTTTATTATTTAATTCATATCTACGATGCTCCTTCCAAAATTGATCGGCAGGATCTCTTGTGATACCACGTGAAAAGTGACCCACGATGTGAAAACACCTAACATTTTGCATTCAGGTGGCGTTGTTACGCAGTCAATAACTTTCATAACAAGAAAGATATCTTTGTCATGCCTATGGTTCCCTCTATAGCGTATGGCTACAACCTAGCGGAGTCAACAGCAGGGATTCCACCTTCCACAAATTGTTCTGTCGAACCCTATTGACCAGGCTGGTTGAATTATTTTAGAAAGAAATTGAATTAACAAAATGATGGCATTTTATATAAAAAAGTATGTGCTTTATATAAATTGAAGTTCTTTACATGTAATAAAATGTACCTTTTTTTAAAAAACTACTTTCCTTGTCACAGAAAATTTCCCCGGTAGTCCGCTTCGAATCAAAATTGCGATGCCAGCTGAAAACCGCCCGGGAGGCAACCATACACAACAGTTAGGTAACATTGTATGTACGACGTGCGTGAAAACATGCAAAACTCTCCGTCTAGACGTAATCCTATCCTACCATTGACAACAGAGCAATGGAAGGAACCTAAAGTTCTTTCAGAAAATGGCAATGCGATTGAATGCTGTTGAAGGGACACTGAAAAGCCACCAAAGAGTGACGTTTTTGAATTAAAAGACAGAGTTTACTATTAATCTGAAAGCTTAAGATAATGAGGAATTATAGTTTCATAACACTGATTGTTGGGTCTAATGGTAAAAGAGCTGGGCGTTAAGTTCCAAAACGGGAACTGAGAATCCAGAAGAAAAACGCTTATAAAATTCTTCCTGGTGCAAGCTGCATTGTTCCTCTTGCGACCATTAGCGAGACATTTCTCTTGAAATGTACGTCATGACAATCGTTTAAGCCATTTTAGATGGAAATCAGACAGAAAATGTATAATTAAATAGTCAGCGAATCCAGAGCAATTAGTGAAAACGGTTTCGGAATTTGATGAAAATGAAAAAAAAAATATTTTATTACTAAATTACACACACAATTGTTTTCTCAGGAAACACTTTATTCAATTTTCTAAGAACAATTACATTTTGTTGGAAAAATAATAAATTACAAGAGAAAATTACTTCTGAAAAACTAGTCAATGTTCCTAGTATTTCCAGGAAATCATAGGAACTTTAAAATTAGAGAGCAATTAAAATATTTCATTGCTTCTGTAAATTTATTCTGTTACAAGTGTGAGAATACCATGGCACAGAGAATGTTCACGTTGGCAACAAGAGGTAATATAATACGAATGTAACGTGGTCTGATGTGACGAAAAGTCGGTGAAAAAAAACTAACGCTTTAAAGAAAGAAATGTTGGATTTTAAATTTAAATATTTTATGAAATAATGTAATGTTAAAACATAATAATGAATTAAATAATAATAAAGTTTCGACTTTAATTTATTAAATAGATATTTCGTTAACGAAAAGTATGTTTTAAGAAATTATTATGGTATATTATTATTAAAAATAATCAATTAGTAATTTTTAATTTTAATTTGTAATAATTAATGTGATCTTACTTGAAAGTAAGAGTTTGAGGTTTAGTTTTTAATACCAGTTTACTAGAATATTGCTCACAAGACTAAGTTTTCAGTTAGCATTTTGTAACATACCCAAAATATATAATATTTAATTTTAAGTTACATTAAAAACCAAAACAAATAATTTTCTCTCGCGTATAGAAATTTGTGGCATTTGTATTTTTAAATTGATAAAGTATATTACAATTCTCTTCATATCTTACCATGATATATAATTGTACTATGAAATAAATAATGCATATTACAAGTTGAATGGAATTAAAAATTAAATTATATGATTAATAAATAAAAATGATTTTTCGTTGAACCACTTAGAGGAATGCCAAATGATTGGCAGAGCCTCCTCTCTAAATGCCACGTAACAATTCCCATACTTGTCCGCTTCAAAAAAGGGAAAATCAAGGAATTGATCATATTTCCAGAAATAAAATATTTTAATAACAACTATGGAGCCCCTAATGAAATGTTCAGGGGGGCGTTAGCCCCCTTGTACCACGACGGTGTATGCATTGCACTGACTCAAGGTTGTTTTATGCTGCTTGCAGAGGCTGAAGACCGGAACCTTATCATCAACTTAGACATGTAATGAGTGTCAATTGTTCCCGAAAAGTATTAAGCAAGGTGTACAAATTATTTTACACAGTATTAGGTTAAAAGATCAGGTCATTTCTTTCGCGAGTTGCCATTGCCGTTCTCTATTTTTTTCCGGTAGTTCATCGACTCTTTCACGTGGGGTATGGCATTACTCGCGCAACGTTTCTTGAACGATGGGTTGAAGAAATGCGGGTAGAGTGTGGATATTAGTTACGAAATCAGCGATTAGTTTTTATGAAGCAATGTTAATGTCTGGGGAATCAGTCATGCTTTCGCAACGTTCTCCATAATTTGCGTTCTTAACTTTCCCAGGAATTCAAGGTATCTCCTGTGATAGATGTTTACCTGCTTCGGTTATTTCTTAGCTTTTTGGAGGAAATAACGGTAGTTATAGAAAAAAGTAAGTTCAAAAGAAAATGGTTTATATTTCGCGCCAGTGAAGATGTGTTTGGAATGTTGTCATCAGAGCTCGCTGAGAGCTTTTGCCTTCATCTGTTTCTTGAGCCAAAGAGGGGGAAGCAAGGTCATCGTTCAAGAAAAGTTGCGCGAGTAATAACAGCAAGATCATAAAAAAGTATATTTGAGGTTATGTACTTACTTGTGGAATGTAGTTTTTCAGCTATATCCGTCCAAGCATTTTCTTTACTGATAGAATCATGGTAATGCGGACACTTGGTGTCGTAAAGTTGTCGATACGAACGCACCAATTCTATCAACAACCCGTCATTCTTCATCTTTTCCTCACAACAACGTTACAGCCGTCACATTCGCGACACCAAAACTCCACATACTGGTCACAAACACGGGTTCCAGAGCCGTTCGGGTCGGTTCGGGTGTTTCCGTGAAGCTTCGGGTCTCCGGCCGCGTCCGGCGTCAGCGCGAGCGGATGCCGGACGCGGCGCGTCGGCCTGGATCCGAGCGGGCGGGGCGTTACGTCATCGATCGGAGCGGAGCGGAACGGATCCGGATGCGGCGCGCGCCGTGCTGCGGAGGGAGAGAGAGAGAGAGCGACTGCCCCCCGGCGTTGAAATAACGCCACATTTTGTACGGTTCTTGTGCACTTGTACAGAGTGCATTTGCTGTTTGGACCTATCGTTGTAAAGTGATATTAAATATATTTGTAATTAACATTATAATTTAATTAAACACAGAATTATAAGAATTTGTTGTAATAACAAATATATATATATATTTATATATAGTTATAAATATATAAAATATATATAATTATATATATTTTATATAATATATAATATATAATATATATATATATATATATATATATATATATATATATATATATATATTATATAAAATGCTATTACCAACATTTCGGGCAAAGTTAATAAAGCAATGAGGACACGATCGTTCTTAATAGTTTAATCAAATCGAAAACAATTTACCGAAAACCACCAAATACCACCCGTAATAGACACTGTTGAATACAAATTTTCTTAGGAGTAATTTACTGTCAAATACTCATTGGATGATTTTTGCACAGTTTGCGTCATTTATATCTAATAAAATCACAGTACAACGCATTTGTAAGAAAGGGATTAATAAGCACAAGTTTTATCAATAAGGAATTAAATCCTTTGAAATATTATACTTAATATTTTAAGAATTTCTTTTTTCATATTCTAAGGCTAAAATCATTGAAGTGTGTGTCAATAGTGTCATTTTATTTCATTTTTATTTGGACATGTATTATAGATGATTAGTTTAAATTGTGATGAAGTATCTCGATACTTTTCCTTCGCACAATACGATTATTTTTTTTAAAAAGAGTTAATAATTTCAGGGAAGAAATTCATCTGTATTATACTATGCCAGCGCCTAGCTAAGCTGTCGTTGAACCTTGGGACTGTTCATTACCGTGCAACTTGGGCTACCCATTTACTTAAAATATCGAGTAAAGTATGTAATATAATGGTGGTTATTAAATTTAAGTGCATTGTGTTTCTAGATTTCTAGTACTTACAGATGATGAATGAGCGATGTCGATACGTATAGGACTATACAAGGAAATGAATGCTCAAGTCCCATGACAGATGATGAGCGCCCGGGAATGTCACAGTCAGAAACAACAACCGATTTATTGAGGACTGGGACATAACCAAAAACTGGGTAATAAAAGAGAAGACATTTTGTCAAAAAATAGGAATTAACTGATACCCTGGAGAAAAAAGATATTGAAGTCTATCTAGTAAAATAAATTCATGCGAAAATTTAACCAAAAGGGTGGCCAAAGTTCCAAAATTCTAATGGTAAAAATGAATACCAATCCAGCCTGATTTATCCCGCCTCGTGCGTTGACGGTCCGTGAGAGTAATTCGTCTGGAAGTGTGGTCAGAAGAGATTTTCCCACATAATTGCAATTGATTATGCAACATGCAAATTCCATTAGAATTATCTATACAATCTTTTGAAACGGCTACATTTAACTGGAACAAAAGAATATGATATACGTACAATCCATTTCGTGGAACCAGTGACAGGCGTTCACTCAGAGAATAATGAATCCAGCTGGCGTACTATGAAATGGAAAATTATCAAACAATTATTACCATCATACATCATAGTTGGGCTTTCCTTTAGAACCCAAAATCGTTTCGATTTTCCTAACATAAAGTAGAAAAACATGTCAATTCCAAACAATGGCCCAAGTTAGAAGGGTCTCCCCTGATATAGAATAAGATGTCGAATTTTCAAATATTTTTGTCAGTAGATACAGTAAAACTTGCCCAATATTGAAACTTCAGGGACCAGATTTTTCCGTATTAGACCAGATTCCGCATTATGCAAAGTAATACTGTGGAATATATATTTTCCAGGACAGCGATTTATGTTCACATTAGACAGATTTCGGCATTATAACGTTCCGCATTGAGCATGTTTTACTGTATTTTACTTTCTCGCCTTACGAAGTACTTTTTTATGATGCTTTCTACCTGGAATACTCGGGTGCAGTCGAAATGAACTTTGTTCATTCATCAGCTCATTAAGCATGTTTTCATGTTTAGCGAGCCTGAATGCTGAAGTATGTACATTCCGAGACCTTCCTTTGAAGAATCGGTTCTGTATTTTAGGTGTCGGGGAGAAACAATCGGGGAACAAATGCTTAAAGTACTCCCGGTATGTTTGCGGTCATTCAATGGTTCTTTTCAACGCCTGTATACGCTCAGAGTGTGATTCAAACTAATGGTGAATTTCAGTTACTAGCGGCCGGCAACAGCAAAATACTGGTTTTGTGTGGATGGAAAATTGAGCCCCGGAGCAGCCAAAATTATCTGTTCTGAAACGCACACGTGAATACTGATGCTCCTTTCTTCAGACGCCAGCACTTATGTCGCGACAAGTGACAGACTGAGTATGAGAATAAAGGAAAATTCAGTATGAGATAGTCCGGATTGACACTACGAAATATTTGCATTTTTCAATCTAAATCGAAACTGTTAACTTACTGTTTTTGGACTTTTTTCTGAGTTCCTGGGTATCTAACGAAATCATAGATACTTCTCACATGCCGAAGGCTATGTAGTTTTCTTTGAATTTCTGCGAGTATTTGAAATTAATAATTAAAATTAATTTTTATTTTCTCCCTGTCGCTTACGCAGTAGAGAGAATCCGTCTGTCTGTGCACATCACTATCGGCTAAATCGTTCAGCTCAAAATTTTTTAAAAATGGCACCATCGTTTATGATTATATTTCATTTTCAGTTAATGTGAAGGACGTTTAAGAGAATGGTGTAGGTCTTATTTCCGTTAAAACGTATCGTTCAAAAATTGCAAAAATTCAATTTTTTTCGACGTCTTCCTGTAACCACAATTATGAAGATAGAGATGTTTTTCCTTAATAAAACCTGTTAAAAATAGATTTTGAAATAAGGTCATGTACAATGTTTTGAACCTTTGAGTACTTTTTGCGTATTTTTGAGTGAAAGTATGAGCTATTTAGCACTACTAGTTTGAAATAGATTATCTGTGCGTTGTCTATTACATTTTATTGCAATTTAATGATATTCCCTTCTAGAAATGAAATGTATTCTTGAAAAATGATAACCGTTAAAATGAAAGCTCGTGGTACTTCCAGGTAGTTTAGATACAAAGTCCAAAGGACTGACATGAGGCTGTGAAAGGAAGGCCGGCAGAGAGCCTGCAGGGAGGTAGCGCGCCCGCTATTGTTATGAGTGACTGGACCTCCGTGC